TGCTATTTGGAATAATCTACCCATGAGTGTGAAAACTCTGCAAAATTATCCTTTATTTAAGAGAACTATTACTCGATTTTTGCATTCAGAAAATCTCCAACAAATTTTGGGTTCTGAATCCACTGATCGACTGTACCGAAGCGATGGCGTTTGTGGTCTCTGAACACTATGGCCGGTCTCACCAGCTGTTCCTAAACGCCTCTTCTTTGGCTATCCCCAACTTCATGAAAGGAATTTGAAATCCGAAAATGTCCGTTAACCGTGCAACCTCCCCCCTTCTTGACGGTCGATATTCTACCACCGCCGACAGTTTTTTCTCCTGAGCCCTCCAAACCATAAAAACCACCATCAACTGTATTTTTATTCCTTTAGCTCAGGAGCTTTTTTCACTGGTGGTCGGATTTATGTTTAAACGCTTCCCTTGACAATGCCTGTAAACTGGCATTAAATAAAATTTATTTATATTTATTTATTTATTTAATTGGTATGTCGAAAGAGACGGTTTTAAGCCAAACGGTTTTATTTATGAAACATCAAAACTAGAATAATGTAGATTTCTTCGGCTTTAAGAGCAAACGACCAATCTTATGGATTATCAGCCGAAATTCTGAGATAAGTTCCCGACTTTTAGTAGAATTTAAATTTTTTTGTAATAATATCTGGTCTACAGTATAATCCCAAGATAATACAGTTAGGTGGGGATGCCGACTCATACATGCACTTATTTTGGCCAGGTTGCAAAACCCTACTCGGCGATCAATAAGTACTTAGGGTGCCTGAATTTCTTCGCCGTCCTCGTAAATTCAAATATATAAAAGAGAAATTAAGCACGGACTTATCCTTTTTAAGCCATTGGTAGAAAATTATGTCTCCTGTCAATGCTACGCTCAAAGAAAGTGTATCTTCCGGTTTCTAAAACAGGCCGTAAGTGGAAGGTCTCTTAAGATTATAAGTGTCCAATAGTAACGCTGCAATTACCCGTGTATATATCCTATTTACATAGTCCGTATCGACTGTTGAATCTTTAAGAGTTATGAGGTATCTGCTAAACAGTAAGGAGGATTTCATTTGTAATGGATATTCCACTTGTTTTCAAACTGTCGGATTTGCTTCTCACATTCCTACAATCTTCAGTTGGCAATCGTTTAGGAAACATTCATTGGTCCTTGCATCACGCAGACAACGAAGTCAGTTGACTGAATTCCGTCCGCAAGTCTGAGATGACCTGCGGATGGAGTAATTTATGGGCTTTTAAAACCATTTGACTGCCGTCTTACGATGCGTTATCAGTCACCTATCAAAAAGTATTTGATTTTAAGGTATTCCAACTACTTATGTCTCCGCCATATTCGGCCCGAAGTCACACTTCTTGCATCATCACCGTTTCGTTCACAAATAGATTAGGTCCTTACTCTTTCACACGAATTAAAACAGAGAATGCTATTTGTATTGTTTAGCGCTGGGCGACACAATCGATCTAAACATCATGTTGATTTAAGTAAAGGTAGTCTTATAAACTAAATAAATCGTTTTATTAAGTACCCATAGGGGTACTGTCATAGTAGGCAAAATAAGTGTTCAAATACTTTTGGGAAAAATATGCAGACACTGCACAGTGCTCAGTTAGTTTTAACATGGACAACAAAAGTGCTTCGCGCGCGGTTTGAATTTTGAGTTGCAAGACGGAAGTTTTTAAATCGAGTCTCTTCGCTGAAAACGACTGTCCTTCACCAAAACGTGGATTATAAAACGCCTTTCTGACAACGATCCTCCAGCTATCTCCATCGATACTCCTATCGTTCGATCAGAACAAACTTCAGCAAAAACGGTCTATCTGTCGGAAATCTCGGCTTGTCTACAGGGCCTACCCATCCAATACACCGTCTCCAATTGCTCACCGAAGTTAGGAGCAACATCTACGATAAGGCTGAGTCGATATTTCTACACTGCTTGCTGTGCTGCTTAAATTCGGACAACTCGAGTTGTCTCACTTTACCATAGATTTACCTGAAAAAAGCGTTCCCTGGAAATTTTCGGCGTATCCAGCATAAGCATAGGCACTGTCCACAGTTGCGCCTTAGGAAATAGCTTGTTATTCCTGCAGATTTGTCCGTTTTTCATAAGTCCACTACATAATGACGATTTGTGCAGCAACACAAAATATTGAGTTGCATGACGGAGTCGAACAACCGACCATCGGCATCTCAGTCGCGCACGCTTACCCCTCGGCCACCGCGGCACGACGGCGGGCGATGTCGCAAAGTTTACTTGATAGTAAATGCGTGCCGCATACCGATCGATTTTGCAGTGGATGCGAGATATTGGCCGGCAAAGTCAACCGCCTTGAGGAAGAGATGGAAAAGATGAAAACCCTTCTACAATGTAAACTAGACACACTTGACGATGCGAATGTACCTGTTGGACGAATAACTAGAAGTAGGGCCAAAGGACGTCGCACAAAAAATACGCCATTAACACCTTCTGCAGCTGTCACGGCACACCCAGCACAAACACATAAAATACAAGACGTCAACAACCAGCGAAGCAACGATAAAAAACCAGAGGAAAAAAAGAAATCATGCAGCAAAAAGGTCGAAGGACATGAACAGCAGATTCTGAGGAATGCCTCCGAAGAACCGGAACCAGGGACGTTGGCGTCAGTGTCGCCCATCACGGGAAATGACATGGGTCCGAAAACCCTCAACCTATCGCAAAAACCTTCCGACTTTGATGAAAATGCCAACAAAACAGAGACGAATGAGGATATTAATCGACTGCAGCTTATATCCTCGTCAGATCATGGCAACCACATATTGCCTATGTCGGAGCACGAAACCACTGTGTTCTCGAGAGTGTCGCCGGTCAGAGGACAATGTCTGATTATTCAGGGACTTCCCGAATCCACAGCTGGTGCCTCCAAAGAGCGGGTCTCGGCAGACCTGAAACTCTTCCAGTGCCTTCTCAACGAACTTCTGCGCCCCAATGAGGAAGTTTCGGTTCTCAAGGCCTTTAGGCTTGGAAAGCGCTCAATCGATATATCAGAGCACTCACGTCCCCGACCACTCAAGATTGTGTTAGCCAACCAAGAACAAGTAGGACTTATTCTCTCACGACGTTTCCGAATCAAAGACACCAACCGCGGCGTTTTTTTTCAGCCGGACTACACACCGGCAGAGAGAATAAAACGTCGACAATTAGTTCTGGAACTGAGAACAAGATTGCAGAATGGCGAGACGGATCTTGTGATCTACAACAACCAGATAGTGCAGCGCCCTCCCCTAATCCATTGGACCGAACCGATCCGGATGAGGGCACAGTAGCTTCTTTAAATGGGATCACAAGCGGCACCATAATCAAACGCCCCAAAACTCTGAAACTAACATTTTTTTACACCAACGTGCAGAGTTTATTGCCCAAGTTAGACGAACTGAAGATCCACATCTGTGACCTTTCCCCTGACATTGTGTCTTTGACAGAAACCTGGCTGTCTGAAAACGTGGATGACCGCGAATTAATGCTACCAGGATTTCAGTTGTTTCGAAGAGACAGGAGAGAGCGTCAGGGAGGAGGAGTCGTCACGTACGTAAAACACGGCCTGCTTGTGTCAGAAAAAACAGAACAGTTTGCCTGCAGCGTCGAGACTATCTGGCTCACTATAAGGGTACCAGGATCACATAGCCTTGAAGTTCTGACCGTCTATCGACCACCGAGGAGTGACCCCGAGGCTGACGCTCGTCTGTTAGAGGAGCTAGGACGATTTGCTCACCGGCCTGACGTCCTAATCATGGGCGACTTCAATGCACCGCTCATTGATTGGAGTTCACTATACGCGCGCGGCCCAGAACTAGCTTTCGACCGACGCTTCTTGGACATGGCACTCAGGTCATTTCTCACACAGCACGTCCTATTTCCCACGAGGGTCCGTGAGGGGCAGCGGTCAAACTGCTTGGACCTGGTGCTCACGAAATCGATGGACAGCATAGATGAGGTACAATGTCTGCCTCCCTTAGGTCGAAGCGATCACGTTGTACTTGAATGGGACTATTCAATCTTTTCCGTGCCTGAACAGCCCACCAAAATTAGAAGAAATATTTAGCATGGGGACTTCGATCAAATGAAGGCCGAAATCAACAATACGGACTGGGAATCAGCGTTTTCCGGAAATATAGAGGAGGATTGGAAATGGTTCAGTGAATTATTGCATGCTCTCCTGACAAACCACTGCCCGCTTTCACGGAAGGGGCTAAACAAACGACCCCGGTGGCTGACCCAGGCGTTAAAAAAGGAAATAAATAAAAAACGGAGATTGTGGCAGAAATCTCTTACTGATGGGACTCCTGTATCCATAAACGCATACAAAATACAGAGGAACTTAGTCAAGCGGCTGACCCTCAGGACACGGCAAAATTTCGAAAAAGACCTATTGAATCGTGCTATGGAAAATCCAAAATTATTCTACAGCTACATAAGAAGCAGCACACGAAACAGAGATCCAATCCCTCTCCTGAAGACTAGCGGAGACGTAGAGATTAGTGAGGATGGAGAAAAAGCTGAGCACTTTTCACAATTTTTCAAATCCATCTTCACTAGTGAAAGTCCATTTACTCCCCCCGACTACGACTTCGATGAGGGTCCAAAAATTGAGTCTGTGTCTTTTGATGAAGCGACGGTTCGCAAAGAGCTAATGACGCTAAATGAGTCGAAATCACCAGGTCCAGACGACATACCGCCTAAGTTACTGAAGGAGCTCGCTGCCGAACTAGCCAAACCATTGTCCATGCTTTTCCAAGCCTCGTTCGAAGCCGGCGGCTTGCCCGCCGACTGGAAATCTGCGCGGATCACACCATTGCATAAAGGAGGCAGCAAGGCCTCTGCAAACAATTACAGGCCAATTAGCCTCACCTCCATCTGCTGCATACTCATGGAAAAAATAATCAAGCGAGAGCTAATGCGCTTCCTAGAGCAGCATAATTTATTATCTGATGCGCAGCATGGGTTTCGTAGTGGCAGGTCTTGCGTGACTAACCTGCTCAACTGTTTGGAACGTTGGGCTCGGTCAGTTGATGAAGGCAATGCGCTGCATGTAGTCTATATCGACTTTAAAAAGGCATTTGATAGTGTCCCACATCAGCGACTCCTGCACAAACTGAGCCGAACAGGCGTTAGGGGTAACCTCTTAAAATGGATTCAAAGCATCCTAGTAGACCGTTGTCAAACTGTCCATGTCGGTGGCCAGAAGTCGACGGAGGTTGCCGTTGAAAGCGGTGTTCCCCAAGGCTCAGTTCTTGGCCCTACTTTGTTCATCATTTACGTCAACGATTGCGTGAGTGAACTGGATTGTGGTGTCGCCATGTTTGCGGATGACATTAAGCTCTGGAGCGTCATTCGAACTGCAGATGACGAAGAGCATCTTCAGGCGAACCTAAATCGACTCCAACAGTGGACAAAGGCCTGGCTTCTGCCGTTCAACGAGAAAAAGTGTAATATTCTACGAGTCGGCAGAGCTCGCTCTCCGAACCATATGGCCTACTGTCTAAATGGTATACCACTGCAAGAAGTGGACTCACAGAAGGACTTGGGAGTATGGATTACGACCTCGCTCAAACCCTCGCTGCACTGCACGAAGATAGCCAAGTCTGCAATGTCAGTCCTCTACCTTGTCAAGCGGGCTTTCTCTGCCTTTGACGAAGACTGCTTCGCCAAAGTCTTTCGAACTTTTGTGCGTCCGCAACTAGAATTTGCTATCCAAGCTTGGAGACCCTGGACCGCGAAGGACCTCAGCAGCCTTGAAAGGGTTCAAAGGCGTGCAACGAAACTTGTGGCAGGACAGGGTTCACTACCATATGCAACGCGGTTAGCTAACCGTCATCTCTTTCCCTTGAGTTACAGGAAGTTACGGGGTGACCTGATACAAGCCTTCCGTATCATACGCGGTCAGGACTGCAGCCTCGTACAGGGTGACTTCTTCGAGTTAGCAGCCACCACAAATCTACGAGGCCATCCATTCAAACTACGTGTGACAGGGGCCAGACTGGACACACGAAAGTTCTTCTTCTCCAACAGAGTGGTAGAAGCCTGGAATGCCCTGCCTGTGGATGTCGTTATGCCTGCTTCCGTCGAGGTTTTTAAGAGGAAGCTGGATTTGTGTAGCAGTGTGCACTAAATTACCACCCCGATCTCTGCAACCATGACAAATTCCGTTATTATAATACTACTTGCTATATTTCAGTAACATTTTAAATTGAACTTATTATTGTACCAACCCATCGCCTACGCTTACTGACATGCACATATGCAAATTTTTTCCGCGGACATATTTCTTATTTCGCTGCACTCGAAACGACAGCTCTACAACTGCTCGTACCACTAAAATTCGAGACAGTTTGTTTGTCTGTACAGACCTGACGCTTTTCCGATTATTTGTTACTTTATGATACCTTTTCGAGTTTTTGAGATTTTGCAGTTGCTTGAAAACAAATAGGGAGTTCAAAGGTGAAGACCTACATTTCCCTCAATAAACTGAACTAAACTGAAAATACCCAGTCTGATATTTTGACGGCTAAGTATGTGCGGCCAACTTAAACCACACACAATAATATCCCAGCAACTAAAGACATAGTGTGACACTAGTCACTACGATCCTCTGGCCCGGTTCCAGATAGGAAGAGAAGAGTTAGGCGCCAGTTGAGAAGATTATCTGTTCTCTACAGAATAGTGGAATAGAGCTGGCAGTCGGGCGAGGGTGCTTCGGCGCCACGTAAACGGCGTCCGCCGGAGCGACGTGCCAAGAGTCGCCGTAAGTCGCCTCCGCAAAAGTGTGGTCTCTTGTATCCACCTGTGTAACCAGCCAATAAAATGACTGCGTTTATTATCTCCAAGCCCACGCGAAGGCAGTGGGAAGCCGCGCATGGTGCAGGGAGAGAATAGGCTAGAATTTTGTTGCGGAAAAAATTGCAGCGAGATAAATCGGGGTTGGTGCAGAAGTGCGTACCAGAGCCGGTTTTCGCTGGTGCTTAGGTGTAGGCACTAGTGAGAGATGTGGCGTCGCCATGATCACTGCCCGTAACAAGCTCATCTAGCAGGTGGGTACCAGTTTCAGAGACATTTCTCGAGGGGCGATACAGCGTTAGGATATCGGTTCTTTCAGCGTCCCATGCTCGTATTGTCAGGTATACCGCCTCTGTACTACAAGTCAGCCTTGCAGTTTTCTTGAAACCCGAAAACCATTCTTGCTATACCTCCGTGCGTTCAGTTTTCTCTGCGTCTGTGTGGCAGTTGACATCAGGGAGGACTAAGTTCATTATCGTCAGCCTATTCAGAAAACAATACTTCTGCTATTGATATAACTTCTAAGATCAGGTAGCATACATGAATTCGGAGTTTATTCGTTTTAGAAATACACGCTGTGCTTTAGTATACACGGATATGTGTGTACAGTGAATGCGAGATCGAATTCCAACCCAGACACGGGTGAGTGGAGCATCTGTGCTGTCATTCGGATTGGTTTGCTCTGCTGAGGAGCCGAATACCGTTTATTACCTTGTCCATGTAATTTATTATGCTCTTTTCTCCGTTATCTCTCCGTGTCCTCAATTCTAGGACACGCTTGTGGTGCTGCATTCATTCTGAAGGTGAGAAGTCCAGCTGAAAAAACGCTCCCACTTGGAAAGATTCAGTAGACAAACTCCTGAAAGGGGTCATCGCCTGCGTTATGGGCACCATGTCCATTGTTAATTACTAAAATGAAAACATGCTGATCACTACGCCAGCTTCCTAACTTCCTTCGGGACGTTAGATGAATATTTTTTGAAAGGCTGAGGTGGTCATAAAAATGTCGAGGGAAGATTCGACGACGAGACCTCTTGTCTGGCCGACCAAACTACTAGCAACTGGCGCAAACAGGGGATTCCACCGCAGTCGTCAACAGGCGGCTTGTGGTCAGACGAGGAAATGACACCATAAACTACGAAAATCATCGACTGAGGTTAGAGGTCGATATATCAGAAACCAGAGAGGAAACACATGGACGAAATTGCCTGTCTAAAGGATAGCCTCGGAAACTTATTAGTTGAAGGGCCACAGAAAGTGCAATTACTGTCTCGAATTTTTTAATCGGTTTTAACGGCGGAGTCCTCAGGAGACAATCAGCAGGTTGAAATGAACCGAGACATCCGGGAGCTTCAAATGCGCCAAGATATTGCCGTCATTGAAACTGTCGCCTTTTCCGTCGAAGAAGTAAGACGCGTCCTCAGTCAAATAAAACCCAATATATCACCTGGACCCCACGGAATTCCTGGGCGGATACTTACGGAGCTATCAA